GCCAGCCGACCAAGGTGATGCGACAAGGTCAGCTGGCATAACTGCGCCTCCAGCCACGAACATCTGCCAATCCTCAAGTGGAACAGCGATCTGGAATAATTGGTAGATCAGCCCAGGTATGACGTCCAGGCCCCACGCCTCTGCGCCGTCGCGATGGGACCGATGTTGTTGATAAGGTGCTTGTCTCAAGCACGTGCTCAACCTGGAACGGATGTGCTGATCGCCTCCAGCAGCTACGAACAGCTCCACCAGGAAGACAAGATCACAATGGCCAAGCTTTCGCACGGCGCCGCGCCGACTGGACTCGAGCGCCCTCACGACCGCCTGTCGCAGACGGTGGAAGTCCAGCGGGTTCATTGTGTCCACGGCCTCTGCGCGGAGCCTCTTCCTGTCCCGGGGGCGCGGGAGCGTCGAACACATAACGGACTGAGCCGATGCCGAGAGGCCGAGGGGCCTCGCCTCTCGGTCTCGACCAGCCCTGACATGGGGAACCCTCGGAAATTCGGCCCGCGGCTCCCGAGCAGACGCCGGCGCGGCCACGGGGGCGCCGCCGGCTGCGTCGCCGCCGCCGCGCGTGCCTTCGATCGAAGGGGCACGACATAAAAAGACCCCCCTGATGGGTCGCGGGCGTTGCCCTCAGAAGGACCAGAAGGAGGAAGAAGAGGAGGAGGATGAGGAGGAGGAGGAGGAGGAGAGGGAGGAGGGAAGGGGGAGGAAAGGAGCGTGGACGTGAGGCAAGCAGAGGCGAAGGACAAGAAAAAGGAGGAGGATGGGACATTTTCCTCCTCCTCCTCCTCAGGCCCTCAACGCTCGACGCCCTTCACACGGGGGCGGTGGGGCGGGGCGGTGCTCGCTGCGACGACGACGACGACGACGACCACGACGACGACGACGACGACGACGACGACGACGCGAGGACGACCAACCCCGACCCTTCCTCGGGCCCTCGGGGATTCCGCTTTGGTCCTGGATCCGTTTCGGACGCGGTCCCACGGCTCCGAAAAAAAACAACTACATCTACAAACATCGAAAAACAAAAACTAACAAGCAAAATCGATTGCTTCCCAAACGCCTGCTCCTCCATCGCCTCCTCCACCTCCCACCTCGTCTTCTCCCTCGTGATCCTCATCGTCCTCCTCCTCCTCCCACCGCTACTCCTCTGCCCCTCCTGGGAGCCTCCTCCTCATCCTCATCCTTTTCTCTTTCCTTCCCATCCTGCTGCCGGAGCCGCCGCGGCAGCTCGTGGGCCGCCTCGTCGACCGACGCGTCGAGGGCAGCCGTGCTGCCTCGGGCGGCGGGCGGCGGGCGGCGGGCACGGCCCCTCCCCCTTTCGTGATCCTCCTTCTCCTCGTCCACCTCCTCCTGCTGCTCCTCCTCCTCCTTCTCCTGCTCCTCCCCCTCCTCTCCAACCTCTCCCTCCTCTGCCTCCTCCTCCTCCTCCTCATCCCCCTCCTCCCCTCTCTCCTCTCCTCCTCCTTCTCCTCCTCCTCCTCCTCCTCCTCCTCCTCCTCCTCCTCCCCATCGTTCGCCGTTATCGCCCTTTCCGCCCTTCTCATCGTTCGCCGTCGTCACCTCCCAGCCTCCACGTGCCCCTGATCCTCCTGCTCCTCCTCATTTCCGCGCTCCCGGCCGCGCCCGGGTCCCCCCGCAGCTGCTCCAGCACCGCGCACAGGTCCTCCAAGAGCCTGGGGGGCGGGGGGGGGGGGACTCGACGACTCGATGGGCGAGGGGGTGATTCGTTTCCTCCACCTTCTCCTGGAGAAGGTGGAGGAGGAATTTGAGGAGGAGGAGGATAGGAGGAGGAAAGAAGAGGAAAGAGGATGAGAGCATCGGGGACGAGCCAGAGGAGAGGAGAACGAGGGCCGACACCAGCAGCAAAAAGTTCGGGATCCCAGGGAGCCAGCAGGTCGGGCAGTAGGCCACCAGGACCACGCTGTGCTCGACCCTACCGTAGCCGATGGCCTGGTCCTCGCCGTCCTCGCTGAGCCTGGCGGCGACGACCCAGACGGGCCGCGCGGCCCATCGGCCGCACCGCCAACAGGGCATCAGCAGGGGGCGGCCCCGGCAAGCGGCCCCCAGCACCGAGGCCGGGGGTTTGGACCAGAGCGTCACGTGCGCACCGCCCCCTTCTTCTCCCTCGGCCCCCCTTTCCTTCCGAGGCGAGAGCGACCAAATTTTGGGGCAGTTGAACGTGGCAAGCGCGGGTTAGAGCACCATTCCTACTGAATTACGTTAACGACGTACGGCGCACGAACAAAAATATTAACATTGGTTTGGGGATCCAGCTAGATTCGTAAACACCCGAAACCGTTTTTCACACATTCGGAGCATCGATGTGTTATGGTTTCCAGGTTCCATTTCGTAGCCCCGGGTGCACGCCTGATTCCCTGAAAAACCGTTTCCGTGGTCACTGTTGTCAGGGATTCTTGAAATTAGTGAAGCCGATTTCGGCGATATGGCCTCAACTAGGATTGTGGATCTGTGATTTTTGCGAGAGGACGAAAGTTGAGTCTCCAAGGAGACGGATCATCTAAATGGCCGATTTGGACTTATACACTCCTCCTCCTCCTCCTCCTCCTCCTCCTCCTCCCCCCCTCCCCCTCCTCCAGCGGCCGCTCTGGAGGATCCGGGCACCCCCGGAACGCCCTCGGCGAGGCGCAGCTGCCAGCGAGCATCCCGAGGCTGGAAAACCGCCGAGGACCGATGGAAACCTCCGAAAACCTCGCCGCCGAGAAGCTCCGTCTCACTTCCCCCCCCCTCGCTCGCCGCCCAGAGCTTGCCGTCGCTCGGACGTCCATTTCCCGTGCATGCTTCGGTTTCGTGAGTGTTTTTTTGTGCTCGATGGTCCAGGATGGTCCTCGATGGTTCTCGCCGAGAAAAAATGCAACACGTCCGAGCGATGCCAGGGCACTGCGATGCAGGCGCTCGTGCGCGCCAAGTCGGTACATTGGGCAACGACGCGTCGGCCCTTGGCGGGCCCGGCTGCGGAAGACAGTTCGCGGCGTTGGTGTTTACCCATGGTGGCGTGCGGCGGACAGGGTGAGGGGCTGCGTAACGATACTTCGGCCACGCCCTGGTCACATTTCTGCGCGCGGGCACTTCCTCCTCCTCCTCCTCCTCCTCATCCTCATCCTCATCATCATCATCATCATCATCATCATCATCATCATCATCATCATCATCACCATCATCAGCATCATCATCGTCCTCATCATCCTCATCATCCTCATCATCATCACCAACAACAGCATCATCACATCGTCGTCGTCGTCATCGCAATCGTCATCGACATCAGCATCAGAATCGGCATCACCATCACCATCATCATCAGCATCATCATCACCAGCATCACCATCACCGTCAACATAAATCATAAGCATGTTCAGCATCACCATCATCAGTATCGTCGTCATCATAATCACACCATCATCATCAGCATAATCAGTATCCTCGTCATCATCATCGCCAACATCAGCATCATCATCATCATCACGCCGATATCATCATTAGCAGCATCATCATCATCATCAGCATCACCATCATCCTCGTCCTCATCCTCATCACAACCACAATCACCATCAACATCAACAGCATCATCACCATCATCATCACCACCATCATCATCACCACCACCATCATCAACATCAATATCAGCGTCGTCATCATCGTCAGCATCATCAGCAGCATCAGCATCAGCATCAGCATCATCGTCATCGTCATCGTCATCATCTTTATCTTCATCTTCAGAGTCATATTCATGTTCATCACCATCATCACCAACACCATTGTCATCATTAGCAGCAATATCATCATTATTATCATCATCGTCATCATCATCAACATCACCATAATCATTTTCGCAAGCGTCACGGTTGTCACCGTCATTCTCATCACCATCACCATCACCATCGTCGTCGTCGTCGTCGACATCGCATCGTCCCCGTCTCCCATGGCTGCGCTCCACGGGGGATCATCGAGCCAAAGCTACATGGAGATATCTATGTATATATAGATATACAGAGAGAGAGAGAAAGAGAGAAAGAGAGATAGAGAGAGAAACAAAACACATATAAAGAAACATAAAGAAAGAAAGAAAATCAAAAACAGATACAGAGCAACTGCGATCAAAATCGGTCACCGGACCCCTCCCAGGGTCCATCTGGTGCAATTGTTCACCCTGGATCTATTTTTGACGGTCCTGGGGCCCGAAAACGGCCCCCAGAGACTAACAAAGGGCAAGAAGCCTCCTCGGACCCAGACCCTCAAACCATGTTCCCCCCCCCCCTTCCTGCTCGATCCCGAACCAGTCCTGGGCCACCTCAGGCCCCCAGCCAGCTCCAAGGGAGGAGGCAAGGCTAAGAAGCAGACTCCCCTCCCCCATACGTGCCCCTGACACCCCTGTGCGCGCCGCCGAAGCAGATGCCCGTCGGTCGTCAGAAGTACGGTCAGTTCGTGCGGCGTTGGCGCGCCGGCGACGCCGGCAAAGGCGTTCAAGTCGGTGCGCGTGGCTCGGGCGTTGGCAGAACTGGGTCTAGCGGGACCTGGTTTGGTGATGAATAATGGGGGACGCCCCCCCCGCCCCGTTCCACTAATCGGAACTGCCGTCTCCCGAAAAACACTGGCTACGGAAAACCTGGTTCAGTGATTCTGGCCAATTTTCGGCTATACGCAAGAGTGACCCTGGGTAAGAGTGACCTTTGGTGCGCGGCATTAGAGGGGCGCGGGAGAGCCAAACCCAAGCGCGCAAGCCGCTTATAGCGCAGCGCGTTCGGCGATTGGGGGACCCATTTGGGCCCGCACTAAAGGTCACTCAGGCGAAAGGCCTCTCTTACGTCTAGCCGACATTTAGGGGCTCCGGTGCCCTACCACTAACCGGGTCCCCTTACCTGGGGTCCCGGCCATACCCGACCGACAGCGGAGGGCCCGAGGGCCAGCGACGAGACCCAGGAGCCGGCCCGGGCACGGCGGCGGGCAGCGAGCAGGACGGGCGCTGGCCGGTCCTCGTGGCCCTCCTCGCGCGCGGCGGCGTCGGCGCCGAGGGCCAGCGCCTCCCGGGGCGGCTGCCCCCGTCATCCCTACCAGTCCTCCTCCTCCTCCTCCTCCTCCTCCTCCTCCTCCACCTCCTCCTCCTCCTCCTCCTCCTCCTCCTCCTGCCTCCTCCCCTCCTCCCCTCCTCCTCCTCCTCCTCCTCCTCCTCCTCCTCCTCCTCCTCCTCCTCCCCCTCCTCCTCCCCCTCCTCCTCCTCCTCCTCCTCCTCCTCCTCCCCCTCCTCCTCCTCCTCCCCCTCCTCCTCCTCCTCCTCCTCCTCCTCCTCCTTCTCCTCCTGCTCCAAGAGGCTCCCAAGAGGCGCCCAAGAGGCCCCCAAGAGATCCCAAAGAGGCCCCAAGAGGCCCCCCAGAGGCACCCAAGACGCCCCAGGAGGCCTCGGCGAAAATCCCAACATCACTTAGCTTACTAAGGTTATAGCCACATTTTGGCCTCGTGGAGGGGGTGAACTCTGAGTAAGCACCCCCGTCTCCTTTTGATCGATCTCCTCCAATATGGCCCCAAGATGGCCCCCGAGCAAGAGGTTCCAAGAGGCCCCCCAGAGGCACCCAACACGCCCCAATAGGCTCCCAGGACTGCCAAGATACCCCAAAGACGCCCCAATAGGACTCCAAGGAACTCTCGAAAGAAATCCGAAGAGACTTCGAGAGGCATCCAAGAGGCCTCTGTCCTTTCTGCTCGCCCTCTTCCTCCTCCTCTTTCTCCTCCTCCTCCTCCTCCTCCTCCTCCTCCTCCCCCTCCTCATCTCCCTCACCACCTTGTTCCTCCTCATCCCCCCTCCCTCCTCCCCTTCCCCCTCTCCCTTCCCTCCTCCTCCTCTTCCTCCTCCTTCTCCTCCTCCTGCTTCTCCTCCGATTCCTCCTCCATCCTCCCCCTCTTGGGGTACGGCGTGTGTTACAGTCCTTTGTTATACTGCATTATCCTCCTTCACATCCCTGATCAAGGTAACTCATGTGGGCATCGTTTCTGGAAGGGCTGGCCGGATCACGCGAAGCGTCTAACATTGATGTCCCAACATTGTTGTTATCCAATCGAAATTTCCGAAGTCAGAAAACATGTCTTCCCCCACACATCATTTGGAGGGAGAGCATTGTGCGGACAGCACCACGGCAAAGCACCATTCAGGATGCTATGTACTGAATGCACCGACTCCGTGACATTTGGGAGCCGTGTCCAAAGCCACAAAACGCACCAACTCGGTGGCATCAGGGACTGCAGGCCCCAGTGGCGATGTTCGCATGCGTCTTCCCTACCGATTTCAGCACGCCCCTCACACGCTTCGTGGCCCCATAGTGATAAGCTGTACAAGTGTCCCTAACCCCTTAGGACGGGACCTAAATACGTAAGTTCGGATGCCCCAAACCATTACGGACAGGGCTTTTCATGTCTTCATGGATAACCCAAAAAACAGGGGACGGGGGTTAGGGGTGGTATTGTACTGAATGACAGTGCTAGGGGCCACCGAAGGCCCCAATGGCGGTGTTCGCATGCGCCCCCCCGTCCATTTCGGCACACCCCTCACACGCTTCGCAGCCCCATAGGGAGCTCCACGTTACTCGCAACTACATCTGGTTGGGTCCAGAGCGGGGACTTCACACCGCTGCACGTGCTGGCCACACAGTCGCACGCGCCTGGCACGCCACGGGAGAGAGAGAGGAGGAGGGAAGGAAAGAAAGGAGAGGGGGGAGCAACCCAGCACACCGCAGGGTCGAAACCGAGAAGACCACTGCGCCTGAACGGCCCAGCAGGCTAGATCAAACACTCTAGTCTTCGAGGACACCCCATGATTTTGCGGGGAGCGCCGTGGTTAGAAAACGCGCTGATGGACATTCGGGAGCTCTCGCGCGGCATTTCGCGCGCAGAGTGAACTTGCCATCGGGATCGCATCATCTAAAAAGTGCCAGGATCAGGTTGCAGGGGGGCCTCTGGCCCAGTGGCCCACTAGCAGTGGGCCCTTGACTCGAGAACCCAAGTCTTGGGATCGTGGCTCCAGGGCCCGCCCGACATGCATCGTCACGCCCCTCTGCCACTCACCACGGCCCCGGGCCGAGGGGACGGGAGCGCGGCCCGGCGCTGGAGCCGAGAAGGGGGGGCACGGGAAGGGATCGAGGATCGAGGATCGGGGATCGAGGTTCGAGGATCGAGGATAGAGATCGAGGAACGAGATTGAGGGATCGGGATCTAGGGATCGAGGATCGAGGGGTCGGATCGATTCTGCGGCCCTGTATACCTCGGCCCTTGTCTGTGGAACCCACGGGTCGTGGGCCGTTGCTGGCGGGGCCCAGGAAGTCCCACTGCCGCCTCTGCCGTGAAGCCCCAATGAGTCGGCCCTTGGACCCTGGGGGCCCTGTCTGGCAGGACCGCGACAGTGCGCCCCAGGACGTCGCGCGAACTCGGAGCATGTCTTCTCATAATCGCGATCGATAGCGGGCGTGATCGGGGGAGAGGGGGGGGGGAGAACCCGCCCCCCCCCCCGATCACATCACGGCGGGGGGCCACCCGAGATCTTCGGAAATCCTGGAAGAATTCTGCAGGAAGCTGCTGCAGATGTGGGCAAAGTAGCGCGACGTGATCCGAGGGGGGGGGAGGGGGCGAGGGCCGATCACGGCCGTCCTCGCCCAGACCCTGGCAAAAACAGGCTCCAGAGAGTCGGAGGGCCTTGATCGAAGAGCCCAGCCAGGAAGTTGTTGGCTCTTGCCTCCCGCGTGCCCTGGACTCCCGCGGGCCGCGGGGTCCGCGGCCCAGGAGCCACCCGCACGCGCTGGACATCCCCCCCCCAGGTGCGGGCGGAACGTCGCCGAGTCGGCAGCGAATCGGTGGTGAGTACACTTGTGTCTTCCTTCCACACAGAACGTTTTGTGATTCGAAGGCGAACGGGGCGGCCAGGACCATCCTTCGGAGACTCCAGTCGGGTCGTCGAGGGGCAAGCTTCGGAGGAGGTATGGGGCCGCCGAAGGCAGACGTCGGAGGTGGGCATCGGCCGCGTGGGGCGCCCTCGGGAGCCTCTCGGGAGCCGCCCAGGAGATTTCCAGGAGCTCCTCGGGAGCCCCGCAAGTGCTCCTCAGGAGCCTCCCGGGGACCTCTCGGAAGCCTCTCGTGAGGCCTGAGGAGCCTGTCGGCAAGCCCTCGGGGCGGCCCGCGGGAGCTCCACGGGAGCCTCTCCGAAGCCTGTCCGGAACCTCTGGAGGGCCGGGGGGGTCTCGGGAGCTGTTCAGGGGCTTCGTAGGACTGTGTCATGAGGTTCCCAGGGGCCCATCAAGGGGTCCATTGGCACATCTGCCGTACCTTCTTACATCCCTCTCAGTAGCCTGTCGGAAGCCTCAAAGAATTCTCTATTTCTTGTTTGCTTTCTCTCTCTATATCTCTCTGTTCATCTGTTGTTATTCTCTCTCTCTCTATCTCTCTTTTCATTTGTTGTTATTCTCTATCTCTCTCTCTCTCTCTCCCTAGCCTCTCAGGAGCTCCGCAGGAGCCTCCCAGGTACCTTTCAGGGACCTCTCAAGATTTTGTTCTCAGGACCCTCTTAGCGTCCCTCGGGAACCCCTTGCGAACCTGTCGTCGCTGTCACCGTATTTGTCGTCGTCGTCGTGTTCGTCGTCGTTGTCGTCATCGTCGTCGTCTTCCGTTTAGTGTCCGCGCAAGGGGGTGGCAATGCATTCCTGGCGCGTGGTCCTTCAATGGCGCGTTCTATTCTCTTTCAGACGATAAGCGGTTCACAGGAACATTTGGGGGGCTGTTCATCCAGAATACAATTGCCTAGCTTCGCATCGCATCGCATTGCGTAGCAGTGGATTGCCATACCATTGCGTAGAATTCGTACCCTGGCCACTGCGCACAGTACCGTACATTGACAAACTGCTGCACCACTTTTGCCGCACAGTGGCACCTATACTACATTGCAGCTCCCCGCCCTTCCCCCCCGATCTGAATATTGGGCGCATGGCGAAGAGCCTGCTGTGGTAATCCCCCCCACCCGTGGGCTCCCGACAGATTGTTGCACCACCGAGCTGTTTCGACTCGCCCGGAACGAACCAAGTGTGAAGATGCGCGATATTGTCCGCGCTAGTCAGTGCAACATTTGGTCGACGTGCAGCAGCACAACAACAGTCCGCCGATTTGCGTGGCATGCCCAGCAGCCGAATGGCCAACACTGGGGAGGTGGTTCTGGAGTTTCCGACTGGATGTGAGGTGGAGGAAGATGAGTATGCTGCCACATGCGTCGCGTGGAAACTTTTTGTATCGCCTCGTATTCTAGCTGATTCAACCCCCGTCTCCAGGGGCAACGGCCCCTGGGGGAGGGGAAGGTCGCGTTCGACGAACCCTCAGGCCATCAGTAATCAGCAATCAGGAGGAGGAGACAGCCTCAAAGAGGCTTAGGGAGCCATACAGATCACGCACATAGTGCATCCTCGCCATTGGCTGCGTACTTTTTTGGAGAGGAGGCAAGGGCGAGGGGCGATGAGAAAGGGAGGGGATGGAGGGGAGAGGGGAAGTGGGGAGGGGGAGGGGGTAGCGGGGGAGGGGGGGGGAGGGGGGGAGGGGGGGGATCAATAATTAGACATCGGCATCTCCATCAGTACAAACCTCGTGTGTTGCTAATGGCTTGACTGGCACTGGTAATTGAGCACCAACCTCATCGCTGCCGCCCCTCCGCCCTCGCTAGATGGGCCCCTGCACCCGCGGCGAGGTACGGTCACGCTACTACAAGAAGGACCCCCCCAGATAAGGAACGATGCGCTCGTTTAGATCGAAGCTCGCCTGAGTGCACGAGGTGAGCAAGGGTTAAGTCGGGCGTGTCCCCCTACAGCGGGATTTTGGGCGAAAAACAAAAAGTAATCAAACAATACCCCCCAAGTTCAAAAATAGTCAAAACATTGTCCCCATAATATGTTCTGGCTATTTTTGAAGATTCCCCCTGTAGAGGGACACGCCCGACTTCAAACTAGGGGGACAAACAAGGAAGGGCCCACGGAACCACGTGCCCCCCCGAGCCCCAAAATGGTCCTGATTTCAACGAGTTGACTGTACACGCGGATCCCAAGGAAAGAGAGAGAGAGAGAGAGAGAGAGGCCTACCGTGAGGGGGAGAGAGAGAGAGAGAGAGAATGGCAGCGATCGCAGTTCACTGGCGACGACGCCTGCACTGGCAAATGTAAACCCAACCTCCTCCTCCTCCTCCTCCTCCTCCTCCTCCTCCTCCTCCACGGCATAGCCATCACGACGACCGCCATCAGCATCATCAGCCCACCACTTTTTCCCTCTCCTCCTCCTCCTCCCCCTCTTCTTCAACCCTCCTCCTCCTCCAACTCCTCCCCCTCCTCCCCCTCCTCCTCCTCCTCCTCCTCCTCCCCTCCTCCTCCTCCTCTCCTCCTCCTCCTCCTCCTCCTCCTCCCCCTCCCCATGCTGCCCGCTTCCCACACTGCACCTGGTCCTTGACTGCCGCATGCCCGCCCAAACTGCCCGCCCAAGCCGCGCAGCCCGACGCCGAAGACCGGGCCTCCCGCACGGTCGAGACCTCGACGTCCCGCTCCTCGTCGTGGGCCTCCCAGGGGATTCCCGGGGCAACACTACTAGGGGGCCACATGCGAGCCCTGCCCCTACCCCCCACGATTTCTGAGGGTGAGGGTGAAGTGAACCCCACCCTCCCCCCCCAGAAATCGTGGGAGGTAGGGGTAGGGCTCCCATGTGGCCCACTGACTAGGGGGGGATCGAGATTTGAGGTTCGAGGTCTCCGGGCGTTTTCTGCGGTTCCTGGCGGCTCTCCAGCCCCGGGCTGCTCTCCAGCAGCTGCGGCTCGCCCAGGGCGTTCCGGGGGTGCCCGGGTCGTCCCGCTCGGCCGGGGGAGAGCAGGGTTGTGACCCGAACAGGAGGGAGGCCAGAGCTGCGTTCTGCTCGAAGACGAAGCCAGAACGAGGATCGAATCGGGTGATCGGCGGTGGACAAGCCTCCCTTTCGTAAACCTCCATTAGTGAAAACGGCCTGGGACCGAAACCGACGGGCCTGGACCCGACGGCCTGGAAAGAGGATCAAATCGGGTGATGAGAAGGCGGGAATATCTGATGGGCCTGTGCTCCACCACCACCGCCAGAAGTTGGGGGGGGAAGGAGGTGGAGGAGGAGGAGGACGAAGATGAGGAGGAGGAGGAGGACGAAGATGAGGAGGAGGAGGAGGAACCTCTCCCCCTCCAACTTATGGTGGTGGTGGTGGTCGAAAGCAGGCCCATCAACACCTGAGGTCCTGCGGCTCTGGAGAGTGTCTCGGGCGCCGCGGCCCTCCTCGCCGCGCTGCGGGGCGCTCCGGAACGGACCCCCTGTCCTCGTCCTAGACCCGCCCGATGCTCTGTGGTTCTCGGCGTCCGGGGGGGGGGGACCGCCCGCGGGCCGGGGGGGACCCTGAGAACGCGCGGGGAGGAGGAGGAGGGAAGGAGGAGGAGGAGGAGGAGGAGGAGGAGGAGGAGGAGGAGGAGGGAGGAGGAGGAGGAGGAGGAGTAGGAGGAGGAGGGAGGAGGAGGAGGAGGAGGAGGAGGAGGAGGAGGAAGAGAGGAGGAGGAGGGGGGAGGAGGAGGCAGAGGGGAGTAGGAGGAAGAGGGAGGAGGAGAGGAGGAGGAGGAGGAGGAGGAGGAGGAGGAGGAGGAAGAAGGAGGAGGAGGAGGATGAGGAGGAGGAGGAGGAGGCAGAGGAGGAGGAGGAGGAGGAGGAGGAGAAGGAGGAGGAGGAGGCAGAGGAGGAGGAGGAGGAGGAGGATCGCCATCTCCAGGGGCGCGGCGGGTCGACAGAACCGGGTCGTCGGATGCCTGTTGGGGGGGGGGGAAGCGGAAGCTTCGACAAGCCCCGCCCCTCGGGCTCGTTTCCTGCTCTTTCACCTCCCTCTGGCCATCGCTCGGACGTCCATTCCCTGTGCTTTTCTCGGTTTCGTGCGTGGTTTTTTCGCCAGATGATCAAGGATGCTCCTCGGTGATCCTCGCCGAGAAAAAATGCACACGTCCGAGCGATGCCAGGCCCTCTCCCCTGCCCGCTGCAGGCAAAGCAAAACTTCAAGCACGCAGGGCAGCCGCAATGAACGGTGCGAGCGTGGAAATCGGCGACGGTCGGCGGCTTATGCCACCAAAGCCAAACAGCGGTGGAACTCCCAGCATGGTCCACCCTCTCTGTCCCAAGGCATGGAAGGCGCAAGTATGACGGATGAAGCAAAACATGCACTAACTAGTGCGAGCTCGGTAGGTGGTCGCCTTTTTTGAGCCAGTTTCGGCCCAGAGACTGGGCGTGGACAAGGAGGGCACGGTGACGAGCTTCTGCTCGCAGCCGTTCTTCTAGTGGTGGCTTTCCGTAGCTGCCACCACTTAGCTGGAGCCCACTCCCATGGCACACCTCGCACTCAAAAGGTTGGAGCGGGGCGGCGCCTCACTTCGAGGGGGGATCGGCAATAGACTCGATGAGAAATATCCGCGAGACGCGATCATCCCACTCGGCACACGCCATTTGCTCGCACCAAGGCTCGGCGCACTCAGCTGGATCAGGAAGGTCCCAGACAGCGAGCAGCCTCTGGCAGCAGCCAAACATCTCGGGGTTGCAGTCCCATGCGCTGCTGAGCCTGCGTGGTTTGGTGCCCTCTCCCTGAACTCCGTTAGAGTCTAGAGCGGCTGAGGACGACGCGTGCCAAAGCCCAGCCGAAGGGAAGCCCCGAGAGAGGCGTGCGGCGCATGGCAAAGTCACAGTGAAGCAGCCAAGCTGGAGGAAGAATGGAGGGGGACAGAAGGAAGGAGGGCGGGAGGAAGGGATTCTGGGGATGGTCTGCCATCGCACATTTCCTCCTCACACGGACCGCACCCAGCTGTAGTCAAGGGCCCCCCGGAAACTGCCCAGCTGTAGTCTCAGGCCCTGGCTGGACTGCACCCGTGCAATTTTGCACGTGCCTGGCCTGCGTCATCGCGCAACATGGGAAAACCAAAAGGTACCGATACCGCTACTCCCCAGGCTACCCCAAGGTGCGCCCTGACTCGGATTCCAGGGCGAATCTAGCGCAAAAAAGGGAAAACGAGGCAAGGGTAGCGTATCGGTACCGTTTCTCTCGCAGCCTTGTCTCTATCAGGGAGGCGTCGTGACCGAAACTGTGCCCGAAGATCAGCCCAAGTGTGGCCGAAACTTGCGCCCGCAGTTTTCCGGCCGCGCCCGAGTGCGACCGAAATGCTTGGTTCAAAACTGAGAGGATTTCCAATTTCGGTCACATTGCGCTTTCGGCCACAACTTCGGGCACGTTTTCGGTCACCGATGTTTTTCGGTAACCTACCTTTTCGGCTGATAAGGGCCGGGCGCCATGACTTGGGGAAACAAAAAGGTATCGATACCCCTACTCCCCGGACCTCTCCTGGGGCGCGTTCTTACCAGAATTTCGGGGCGAATCCAGCGGTGGCGACGAGGGCCTCCCAGGAGGCCCAAAAAGGGAAAAACGGGCGAAGGACAGAGGTGTGGGTACAGTGCGGGCGCGGCCGCAAGAAACCTTCGCAAAAAACCCAACCCTGAAAACCCGCGCGCGAGGTGCACCGGAAGGGAAACCCGCAGCGCCCTGAACGCAGCAGGTTCTTTGCCGGCCGCAGAAAGGCACAGCGCGGAGCGCGGAGCGAAGAAACGCAGGGTACCCAGACGAAAAGCAGATGTTTTCTTGATGCGCGCCCCCACTGTACCTTTTCCTCCCCTGATGACTTGTCATCTTCGGAGTCGCGCAGCAGCGCGTGACCGGCGCCGAACAAAGATCTCCCGGGCAAGGCGCGAGCACGAGGACGAGCGCGACGGGCCCCCCAGGAGGCCCAGCCTCCCGCCGGGGCGGGAAGGAGGGAGGGCGGAGGGGAGGGAGGGAGGGAGGGGGAGAGGGGGGGAGGGAGGGAGGGAGGGAGAGGAGGGAGGGAGGAGGGAGGACAATCCTGTCTGTCCACTCTCCCTGTCCTGCCTCCTCCTCCCTGTCTGTTTACTCTACCTGGTCATTCTACTATTTTGTTGTACGCCCCCAAGGCTGGCTTTCGGCCGGTCTTTGGGGGAAGCGGCAGCGTTCGGAGAACACCAATGCCGTCAGGAAATGAGGAAACCAGGAGGAGACGGAGGAGGAGGAGGAGGAGGAGGAGGAGGAGGAGGAGGAGGAGGAGGAGGAGGAGGAGGGATGGAGCATTGGAGGCGAGTCCCAATCAGCCAACGGCGGAGGCAGGCGAAAAAATATGCTGGTGCCCACGGCGGGTTCTGTGGATGCAGGGCCTGCGCGCTGGCCAATGGCCTGGACGCCGCCGACAGACAAAGGCGCTCAGAGCCGAGGGGCCCTCTCGGCGCACGCGGCGGCCCAACCTCGCCGGGGCGCCAGATCCGGCGGCGCGCGCTCGGACAGCCCAGGGCAGCGGCGCGCGTCAGGACACCGCAGCCGTGAGGCGAAGCATTCTCAGCTCCTCGTGCTCTCCCCACGCGGAGGTTGCCCCAACGACGTCTTGCCAGGGCGCCCTCGCTCGAGACAGGCACTCGTCAGCGCCCGGACGTCCATTCCTCGTGTGTTTTTCGATTTCGTGCGCGCTTCTGCATTCCTCGTGCATTCCTCGTGATTCCTTCTGCATTTCGATTCCTCGTCCATTCCTCGTGCATTCCTTCGTCGCTAAGTCATCCGGGATGCTCCTCCGAGGCCGAGCGGTCGCGAGGAGATTACTCGCGATGCCCAGGGTTGCTCGGGGCACTGCCTGGGCCCACCCGCTCCGCTAGGGTGTACAGAGTGGTCAGTGGCACCTCCTCCTGGTCTGAGGTGAGCGTTGCCTATGACGTTCGCGGAGGCAACGCCCCCCACCACCCCGCTGCCGCGCTTTCCCCTGTGCTGGCCGGGGTCGTGGGGGCCCTCCCCTCCCCCCCGGTCGCTAAGTCATCTGGTCCTCGCCGAGGAAGAACGCACACGTCCGAGCGGTGCCGAGTGCAGAGGAGAGCGCCCGCGCGCGGGAGGAGGGTCGCAGTCGTCCCAGGGCCTCCTGACTCGCACGCCGCTCCTCCCTCGCCGGGCCCAGGGCCTGCCACCTCCCCGAGGAGGAGGAGGAGGAGGAGGAGGAGGGGGAGGAGGAGGAGGAGGTGGAGGAGGAGGAAGAGGAGGAGGAGGGGGAAGAGGAGGAGAGGAGGAGGAGGAGGAGGAGGAGGAGGAGGAGGAGGAGGAGGAGGAGGAGGAGGAGGAGGAGGAGGAGGAGGAGGATGAAGAGGAGGAGGAGGAGAGGGGAGGAGGAGGAGAGGAGGAGGAGGGGGAGGAAGGAGGAGGAGAGAGGAGGAGGAGGAGGAGGAGGTGAGGAGGAGGAGAGGAGGGAGGAGGAGGGAGGATGCGGAGGAGGAAGAGGAGGAGGGGGAGGAGGAAGAGGAGGAGGAGGAGGTGGAATCGAACAGGCTCCTGACCCTGAGTGGGCCACGTGCGAGGCCTGCCAGACGGGGCAGAGCAGCATTTGCCAGCCTCGAGATAGATACACTCCCCCCATGGCGGCCCCTTCTTGCCATCGCTCGGACGTCCATTCCCCGTGCATTGTTCGGTCTCGTGCGTGTTTTTTTTTCGGCTCGATGATCAAGGATGCTCCTCGATGGTCCTCGCCGAGAGAAACATGTACACATCCGAGCGATGCAAAGCCCTGGCCCGGTGCGACCACAGGGATGTGATGATGGGCCTGTTTTCCACCACCACCACCATAAGTTGGAGGGGGGAAGGAGGTGGAGGACGAGGAGGAGGAGGAGGAGGAGGAGGAGAAGGAGGAGAAGGAGGAGGAGGACCCCCTCCCCCTCCAACTTATGGTGGTGGCGGCGGAAAACAAGCCCATCATGTGAGCCTCATCTTCTGTTTCGTGTCCGTGGCCCCCTCGCCAGTGGACGAGCGGGGGTCGGCTCCTCACCCCTTGACGGTCACGACGGCCCAGACGGAGGAAAGCCCATACATCCGCCGCCTCGATGAAACAATACGAAGAATACGACGAACAATAATAGGAGCAATAACAGGAGTAATAAGAAGAATAAGGCGACAAATAATGAGCACACTACTAGTAATAAGACAAGCACAATAAAACAACGAATATAAATGTGAATACGGATAATAATGATTGACCATGCGAATAGTAATGATACGCATAATATCAATACTACGCAGCAGTAGAATTGACAGGAAGAAGAGCGCCGCTCATGCAACAGGGTCTGAACTGGTTGGGGATCTATCGGTCAGGATTGGGGGGGTGAGGCCAGATCTGCCCAACATCGGTCCCTGGGCCCCCCCCCCCCCAGGGTCTACCTGGTGCAGTTGTTCGCGTCGGATGTGCGTGTGTTGACGGCCCCCGAGCCCCGCGAGCGCATCGATCCTGCCCCCCCCCCCGCTGGCCGCAGCCACTGCTGGGCCACCCCCGGCCCCCCAAACCGAGCCCCAAAGCAGCCGGCGGAGGAGGCCCTGGCAAGCCTGGGCGCGCGCCGCGGTGCCGACGGCGGTCCGACGCCCCCCGCCCACGGCGCTGCGGCGGGCCCCCGCGGGGGCCACGCGAGCAGCCGCGGCCCCGTGGGCCGAGCGCTCCCGCCCCGGCGCTCCGCCCCGCGCGAGGGGCGCGGCCCCGAGGTGTCCGCCGCCGACGGCGGTGGCCGCGTCGGGCGCAAGACGATGCCCCCGTGGCCTGGGCGCGAGCACGAGAACACGATGAAGGCCACGGCCGGTGGGCGAAGGAGAGGGCAAGCGAGTTGGCGCCGAAGGAGCTGGAGCGCGGAGAAGAAGGAGCGCGCGAGAGAGAGAGGAGAACGAAGCGTGAAGCGCGAAGTCCTAGTTAAGGAGGCCCGCGGGGGGCACGCCAGCGTGCTACACTACATCGGCAAGCTGAATTAAGTTATTAAGGGCTCGCGCTAAACATCTGCAGCGCTAGCCCACGAGGCAAATGTACCAAATTATCGACGCTGTACCTCGCGATCCGGAGCCTTGCTTCTCCACTCACCATGCCCTCCCTGCGCGCAACAACGTCAGTGCGCGTTCGAACCTCCTCCATGGGGGCCTCGATGGCCTCGCTGGCCTCCAACATATATCTCGGATATCACGATTCCAAGCTGAACCCCTCCAGACAGTGACTCGACAAGCCCACTCGCAATCAGGCAGTCGCGTAACATGTCCAACCCATTTCAACGTATTCGTGAAGCGCTCACGCCCCCAGTCCCTCCCCCCTGCATCACGTGCAACTGTTCTCGCCAACCTCGTCGCTCTTTGCACCCACCCAACCCAATCTTCATCATCCGTGCGTCCGACACATGTAATCCTCCAACACATGGCGTTCTGCGTGGCGCTAAGTCTCCGCAGTTCTTCCACCCTTGGCGTCGAAGATTCAGATCCCAACAGTAAGGTCCCCGTCACTGTGCTACAAAGCAGGTGCAAGCCCTTCTTCGACGAAGCGTTTTTCCTCGCGAGTACTTTCTTTAATGTCCAAGACTTGTCCCATGCTTGCTTGATCGGGTCCGTGGCCTCGTTGCCTGTTGGGTCCTGGAGGCACAACTTGGCTCCAAAGAAGTCGAGGCAATCACAAACTGGCACGACCTCAGTGGAGAAACCCTCCTCAATCTCGATGCGCGTCCGCTGGAAATCGACCCTGCTCGTTTCCACATGGCATGTATTTGGAGGCACGCAGCCAAAACCCTCTTCGAAACAGGGCGCTCCGGAGAGTGGACGGCATGCGCCTTATAGACATACATGACCTAGCTGCGGGTGCTTGATCACCCGCATCTGCTGCACGCGTCAGCCAATCCCCCCTCAACTCCCATCCTACATGTGTACGATACCTTCTCTCTGTCCATCTGTCCGTTGATTCCCGTCGAGCGCCGTCCAATACCATATTGGGGAGCACTGGAGACAAAGAGCCCCGCTGCTTCACCCCAATCTTCACAGCAAACTCACAGCTCTCTGCACCAGGCCATAACGCTTTCACATCCAAGTACAAACGACGAAGCACCCCCACCACTTGTAAACCAAGTTCAGTACCCAACAACGCAGCAAAAAAGAAACTGATGGTGCACTCTGTCAATAGCTTGTCTACATCCAGTGTAGCTATCCACAGATCCTCTCCCCATTACAAATACTTCTCTATAACAAAGCGCATGATGCGAATGGCGTCTGCGCACCCGCGTCCTGGTCTAAACCCAAATTGTTCACTCCCTAATCGTTTGTCGATGATATGTGCGATCCTGCTGTGCACCACCGTGCTACGAAATTTAGCCATTACTGGGAGCACTGCAATTGGTCTGTCAATACTCGGCTGCGCCGGCTGCGTCTGATCTCCTCGCTTGATACAAAAAAACCGAGCTTCATGACTCTCAATTCCTCCAGCGGTAGAAGGCTGTCTTGCAACACGTCGGTGAACTAATGCGCAATGTCTGTCACAATCCCTGCATGACCCGTCTTCAACATCTCCACTACTAAAGGAGGAGGAAGAGAAGAAGGAGGAGGAAGAGGAGGAGGAGGGGGAGGAGGTAGTGCGGAGAGAGAGAGAGAGGAGAGACACGAGGAGTGAGGAGGAATGCAAAGGAATAAGGAGGAAGGAATGAAGAGAAGGAGGAGGAAGAGGAGGAGTGAGGGGGAGATGTGATACTGATGATGATGATGATGATGAGGAGGAGGAGGAGGAGGAGGAGGAGGAAGAAAAGGAGGACGAGGGGGAGGAGGAGTGAGGACGAGGAAGAATGAGGAAGAGGAAGAGAGGCCCACTTCTAACCTCTCAGCTGCGCCCACGCCTGCCGCAGCTCCAGCATGAGCATTCGCGTCGCTGCGGACGTCTGGGGGCCGAGCGGCGGGGAGCCGAGGGGACAACAGGCACCCTGCACTCATCTCAAAAACTCAGAGTATCCCGCCTCCTCGCCGTCCTCTTCTATTCGTCGTCGTCCTCCTCCTCCTCCTTCCACACCCTCCTATCGATTGTCCTCACATTATCCTGAACGCTATACCGTGTGCTCATCCTTACCTTCTCGTTCTCCTCCTCCTGCTCCTCCTCCTCCTGCCCCTCAAGTTCTCTCCCCCTCGTTCTTCCCCTCACACTAGACCGCACTACGCCTGCGTGAGAATAGACGTAATCACAGATTGGGAATGAAGGTTGAAGGAGGGAGGAAAAGAGGGGCACGGAGGCAGGAGGAGGGAGGGGGAGGAAAGAGGATCAGGCGGCGGGGAAGGGGGAGGGGCGGAGGGAGGGAGCATGGAGGAGGGAGAACGGGGACGAGCGGGCAGGACGAGGGGCGGGCAAGAAAAGCAATCGCGGCGCCGAGGCTCGAGTGCTCCCCCCGCCCCCCGGGAAGGGGAGGGGGGGCGCGCGTCCGCGGCGAGGGAGGGGCGGCCTGCAAGTGCCTGAGCCGCGCCTCGCGGCCGCGAGGGGAGGCGGGGTGGAAGGGGGGGGAGGGCGGCCATCGCTCGGACGTCCATTCCCTGTGTTTTTGTTTTCGGTTTCGTGCGTGGTTTTTTTCGCAGGATGACCCAGGATGCTCCTTTACTAATCCCAGCCGGGAAGAAGTGCACACGTCCGAGCGATACCAAGCTCCAGCAGAAGTCCCGCCGGCCCTCTGGGCGTGAATGGTTTCGAGCGTGTCCTCTCCCGTCCTCCGTCTTCCCCTTTGGGGAGGGGTTTATCACTGCTGCCTATTAATAAACACCCCCTCCCCCAGGCGACTGGTAGCCAACCAGGAACCATGAGGGCACCCCCCACCATCCCTTGTAAAAAAAACATACAAACACACACTCTGTCTCTAAATTCGGAGCATTCGCAGCCAACCCGACGGGGCCTCCCCCAAAAATCCTTTCCAAAAAACAATACAGAGTACACTTGGCGGCGGTTGCGGCGGCTGCGGCGGCTGCGGCGGCTGCGGCGGCTGCGGCGGCGGCGGCTGCGGCGGCGGCGGCGGTGGCGGCGGCGGCGGGGGCGGCGGGGGCGGCCGGCGGCGGCGGCGCGGCAGCGGCTGCGGCGGCGGCGGCGGGGCGTGCGGCGGCGGCGGCAGCGGCTGCGGCGGCGGCAGGGCGGCGGCGGCGCGGCGGGCAGCGGCTGCGGCCGGCGGCGGCGCGCGGCTGCGGCGATTTGGGCAACGGGGGCGGCCGGCGGCGGGCGGCGCGGCGGCGGCGACGGCGACGGCGGCGGCGGCGGCGGCGCGGCGGCGGCGGCGGCGGCGGGCAGCGGCGGCGGCGGCGGCGGCGGAGGCGGCTGCGGCGGAGGCGGCGGCAGCGGATTGGCCCCCAGTAGCTGCCCATCCAAAGACGACTGCTGAATATGCTGGGGCGCGGGACAGACTCGGGTGCTACGTATGTGTTGGGAGGGCGGGTGGGAGTGAGCGAGACAGCTTGCGGGCGGGGAGGGAATCTTGACCCCTTCCCCTCCCCCCCCATGGGCTTATGTAGCTCCCATCGTACTTAAGGACCACATCCCAGAAATAATGTCGAGCACCCGGAAAAGTGTCGAAATAATATCGAAAGAGTGTCGGACGAGGGTCTCCCAGGGCCCGATACGTGAAAACCCTGAGTTCTTTTTGTTGTAAAAAATGATACTCGAAACTATTTCTCGTGATCAAGGCTAAAGTGGGCTGGAACATCATAACCCTGGGTCTGGAGGGGGGGGTACCCCCTCTCGCCATCGCTCGGACGTCCTTTCCCTGTGCATGTTTCGGTTTCGCGCGTTTTTTGTTCTTCCCAAGATGAGCAACATGCTCCTCGAGCGTCCTCGCCGAGAAAAAAAATGCACACGTTCGAGCGATGCCAAGCCTTCCCCTACCACCCCCCCCGCCCCTGGGTCTGAAGGGGGGGTCACGACCCGTAGGAGCGTCCAAGACGGCCCCGGCGGGAAGGCACAAATATCATTGCAGTTCACGAAGGCGTTGGTTCAGTGTTGGCCTCCTGGGGGGGGGAGTGATCTGGCCATCGCTCGGACGTCCATTCCCTGTGTTGTTTTCGGTTTCTTGCGTGGTCTTCTCGCAGGATGACCCAGGATGCTCCTTAATAATCCCCGCCGGGAAAAAGTGCACACGTCCGAGCGATACCAAGTGATAGTTCACTATCCCCCCCTTCTTTGATCGAGCTCCTCCAAGATGGCCCCAGCATGGCCCCGAAGCTCCCACGAGTGCCCCAAGAAGCGCCCAGGATGCAACAAGAGGCACCCGATCTGTCCCCGAGAGGCTCCGAGGAGGCCCTCAAGAGGCCCCAAGAGGTTCCCCCGAGACTCCCACGACGCTCCGAGAGACAGGCCCCCAGGACCACCAAGAGGGTCCCAGGACGCCCCAGGAGGCCTCCAAGAGGACTCCAAGACGATCTCAAGACGCCCCAAGAGGGTCCCAAGACGCCCCAAGAGGACTCCAAGATGACTCCAAAATGACTCCAAGACGGTCCCAAGACGCCCCAAGAGGACTCCAAGAGGACTCCAAAACGATCTCAAGAGACAGCTGAAGAGACGCCGGAAGGCATCCGAGAGGCGACTGACCTTTCTGCTCGCCCTCCTCTGTTTCCTCTTGCTCATCCTCACCCGCCTAGTCCTCCTCCTCCCTCCTCCCTCCTCCCTCCTTCCCCTCCCCCGCCCTCCTCCTCCGATTCCTCCTCCATCCCTACCCTCTTGGAGTTTGATCGCTTTCCCAGCCCTTTGTTCCACTGCATGATCCTCCACATCCCTGATCAGGGCAGCTCGCCTGGGCATCGCTTCTGGATGGGCTGGTGGGGTTACGCGAAGCGTCTAGAGCTGCTCCCTCTCGCTCTCGGCTTCGTCCTGCTCCTGCTGCCCATGCAGCCCAAACATGATGCACTTCGTCCTCCTCCTCCTCCTCCTCCTCCTCCTCCTGTTCCTGCTCGTTCTTTAAATTCGCCCTTCCTCTACTCCTCCTCATATTCCCATTCGTCCCCCCTCCCCCGTCGTCACTTTAGTCATCCTCCTGGTCCTCGTCGTCGTCGTCCTCGCAAGTTGTCCTCCCTCTACGCCTCCAACTCCCACTCCTCCCCGTCCGCCTTAACTACTCACCGTGCCGCTATTCCTCCACTCCACCTTTCACCTTGTTCTCATCCTTCTCTCACATTGTTCTCGATCTCCTTCATCCATATCCCTGATGCATGCACCCTCCTCGCTACACCGCCAGGCGTATCGGCAGGGTGGGCATCTGGGAGGTGAGACCTCTTAATTAATTGGGGACAAAACCCGAGGCTCGAATTCCCCAACAGCAAGCGGGCGGTGTTCAGTGTGAGTTTCTCGAAACGTGCGCCGCGTCAAGTCGTCCGACAAGCCTGCAACAGCTGCATGGGTCAAGGCAAGCGGCCTGCAACATGTAGCCGTCGCCTCGGCACCGCACGTGCTCGTCCAGCACGGTCCAGCAAATACGCGGATGGATGCAGTGTGTCCGTCCAACATGTGGCTCTCGCCTGCTTGCCGCGCAGACTAGCAATGCACGGTTCCAAGAAATACGTTTACATGGACGGAGGCACCTCTTCAGAATTGGGTTGTCGCTTGAGACTTCCTCAGGCTTACTAGCCAGACGCTTGCAGCTGTGCAAGAAATTCGCACGCGCAGAGACTGACTCCTTCGCTGTCGCTTGACACTCTCTCGGACCTCGTGCAAAACATGCGCGGATGGAAAACGTACCCTTCTCACAACGGAATTGCCACTGGACACTCTCAAGAACTGTGTGATCCTGCCCCTTGAGCTCACTGTTACTGGAAAGACAATGGGCGTTCCCTTTTCGAAAAGGGGCTCACGTCGGAAGGTAGGCCCGTGGGGCGTTCGTGCTTCAAGAGGGGCGCTTCCTGTAGTGAGTACCCCCTATATGGCTTCATTGAGAGGGGACTTCGGACGGAATTGGTTATTGCAGCAGCGTCGGCGCATCCTGGGTTTGCGCTGGTTCTCCTCGTATCATGGTCCCCTATCATGCCTCCTTCCTTGCTGTTGCATTTGGCCCTGCCCCTACCCTGCGCACCCCGTCTACGGCGGGCGTCCTCAATATCCTCCTCCACTTCCGACGCCTCCTCGTCGACGTCCTCGTCTGCAGCCTCCTTCGCACCATCAAACCTCTCTGCTATTGTTCCTGCGTTCGCTAATGCTCCTGGTCCACCACATCCTGCGACTGCTCATCACATCCCTCCTCTTCCTCGTCATCCTCCACGGTACACACTTCGACACGTTATCCGGCATGCCTCCCTTCTCACTCTTCCCTCGTCCCTACTCATGGTCAGCATCATCGTCACTTCACCATCACCATCATCACCCCAGCGGCTCAACAATACCATCCTCATTACAATGAGAATCAGCATCCTCACCATCACCACCATGTTCATCATCATCATCATCATCATCATCATCATCATCATCATCATCATCATCATCATCATCATCATCATCATCATCACCATCACCATCACCATCACCATCACCATCACCATCACCATCACCAGCATCATCATCATAATCATCATCATCATCATCATCGTCATCGTCATCGTCATCGTCATCGTCATCGTCATCGTCATCACCACCATCACCACCATCACCACCATCACCACCATCACCACCATCAGCATCAGCATCAGCATCAGCATCAGCATCAGCATCAGCATCAGCACCAGCACCAGCGTCATCATCATTATCATCATCATCAGCATCATCATCAGCAACATCGTCATCATCATCAGCATCATCGTCAGTACCATCATCCGTATCATCATTCTGAGTATCATCAGCATCATCATCAGCAGTATCATCTCACCCACACCATCTCAATCCTCCTCCACCTCCTCCTCTTCCTTCTCCTCCCCTCCTCCTGCCCTCGCCCATCCTGCTCACGCTCACCCTCCTGATCATGCCCACCCCCCCTCGACAGCTCCTTCCCCGTCCTCTCCTCCCCCGTCATCCGTCCCCCCTCCCTCCTCCTCCCTGCCCCCCCTCCCTTCTCCACCCTCCCCCTGTCCGCCCGCACTCCTCCTGCATCTCCTCCCCCTCCGCCTCCTGCCCGACCGCCCGGCGGGGAGGGGCCGCGGCCGCTGCCGCGGGGCCAGCGGCGTGGGCATAGCTCTGCTCGGGATCCAGCTCGGCCCCATCCTCCTCCTCCTCCTCCTCCTCCTCCTCCTCCTCCTCCTCCTCCTCCCCATGCATTTTGGCTCAATCGACTGCATGGCCTCGCCTGGGCGCCGGGAGCTGGGAGGTTCTTCAGACGGTGGGTACCCGCAGCATCCTCCTCAACCTGCGCCCGCGCCACCCCCGATGATCAGCAGCAAAAGGACCCGCAACCCTTTGGGAGGGGACCTGAGTCAGGAGGACCAAACGCTTCGGATAACTAGGGGCTCTGTGATGCAAATGCATCGGGCCGAACCGCCCAGATGTGTTTTCCCGAGTGCAAAGACGGGGGCGTCAGTGAGGCTCTACGTCTTCATCGTGCTATCAAGGTTCGGCATTCGTTGTTTTGGACGCCCGACATGGGTACGGAAACAATGGTCACAATGCCCAACAGCAAATGTTGTCCCGAACCAACAGCGGCCGCTGTTGGGCAAGCGGCCTTCTGTCTCAAATGGACACCGGCCGCGGCGGCGCGGACAACGAGTCCTGTCCAAAATGAACAGGAACTGCTGTTGGGCATCGTACCCATTCTTTCCGTGCCCATCTCGTTCGTGCAGATTTTGATCCTCGACGACCCGAATCCCATGCAGAGGACGGATGTTCCATCCCGCGCGCCTCCCCAACGTGCTCGCGGAGCCTCTCGGCCATGCCTCTCCTGGTCTCCTCGCGGCGATCGCGCAAGGGCGCGCGGGGCCCGAGCGCCCCGCACTCGCCCCCCCCCCCCCCCGTCCCTCCCTCCTCCTCCTCTCCTCCTCCTCATCCTCATCCTCCTCCCCTCCTCCTCCTCCATCCACCCTCCCTCCTCCCCCCCGCCCTCCCTCCATCCTCCTCCCTCCTCCTCCTCCTTCTGTCCTCTTCCTCCTCTCCTCCTACCTCCTCCTCCTCCTCTCCTCTTCCCCTCCTCCTCCTCCTGCTCCTCCTCCACCCCCCGCCCTCCCTCCATCCTCCCGCGCCGTCCCTCCATCCTCCTCCCTCCTCCTCCTCCTCCTCCTCCTCCTCATCCGCCTCCTCCTTCGGATTGGCCCAGCTCCCCCAGTCGCTCGGACTGTATCTTGAGAGTTGAGAGTCCTGCGATCTCCCATGCTACCCCAGAGATCGCGAGAGACAAAGCAGAGTGAAAGCAATACGTTCCTGTACGTGTATTGTTATATCTATAGTTATGTACACGTGCGTGCGAACGCTTGCGTACACGAGAACGGCCCCGGTGCCACCCAGCCAGCACGAGATCCGTAGTAGTGGCGCCTCCGCACCAGTACTTGAACAAGAAGAAACTAGCGGCGTGGACATCAAGCAAATGGACCAGATACAAGAACGAAGTTGGGAGCTTAAGCTGGCACTCGTTTATGGAAGTTACGACCCCCCTCGCGCAGGACTGACCCTCGCGCTTGGAACTGAGATCAGGCCTGTGTACGCACCATATGTTTCCCATCGCTGGTTAACTAAACATCCAGTTGTATGCGTAGTTCGCCCACAAGAGTTAGCTCACAATCACATCAAGCTAAATCGCCAACGCATCAGCACGGGCTGTAACCCTCAACCCAGAAACTACAACCTCGTACCACGCACATGTACACATATATCTATATATATGTATATATGTATTTGCGAATATACATACATACATGCATCAATATTGGTAAGAATGCGTGGCGGGCGCAACCGAGGTCCCTGGGCGGGACCCCCCCGGCCACGTCCCCCGGGGCTCTGGTGGCTCTGGGTGGCTGAAGCCACGTAAAAACACAGGGGAAGTAAGGCCCCAGGCCCCCCATGCCCCGCCGAGGTCCCTGGGCGGGACCCCCCTGGCCACGTCCCCCGCTATTATATATATATATATATATACATATATATATATATGTATACATGCTATACATGTGCATACAAGCATACATACGTAAATACATGCATACACATATGGTAGGGGGGCGGTTCCAACACTTTGCGTTTGCGTGTTTGTGCAACGGAGATCTGGATCGAAAACGACATTCGGTATTTAGGCATATATTTCAAAATTTGCTACATACAACCAATGAACCATGTGTGCGTTTTTGCATGGCAACCTTTGATGAATGTTATCGCAGGGGGGGCAGATGTTCCATGCGCCTGTAAAATCAAAACCAAGACTGGATGCAAAACCGCACAACAACAAACACACACACATATATATATATATATATGTATATGTATATGTATATGTATGTATGTATGTATATATATACACATTCCGGAGGTCTCGGGATTTCAACTCCGGATCCACCGCGAAGCGAATCAATTTGCCAACGCATAGAGCATCAATGTGTGGATCCTATACACATTGATTTGTATGTGTGCGGATGGGGGAGAAGAATCCCGAGGCCTCGGGGCAATCTACTTTGTTGCTGTTTTTCTTTGATTTTGCAGATTTTGTCTTCCGCCCCCGCTTTGACTGCGCAGGCGCAAAGAAAATCAGTTTCCCCCAATCAAAATCAGCAGCTTTCAAATAAAAGCGGTTTTCCATTTGATTTCTGGAAGTACGCATGTGAACAAATTGTCATCTGATCCGATCGCCCTCCTTGGCACTCCGCATCACTATCCGCGTCACGTTCCTCACCGTCTTCGTCCAACTCATGTTCTTCGTCTTCCTCGTCCTCGTCCTGGTCCGTGTCCTCCTTCCTCATATTTTTCCCTATGCATAACTTCTCCCTTTCGCACCCCGAGGTCAGTCGGAAGGGTGGGCCGGCCGTTTCGCCCGAGAACTCCTAACACTTCATGAGCCTCAAACCGAACCAAATCACAGATGGAGGGCGGGTCGCTTCCAAAATACAAATCTCGCCTCAGCGCCGCGCACATTCGTTCCATACATTTGCAAGAAATGACGGAGTGAAAGCGGGTCGTTTTCAAAGCGTGACTCTCGCCTTAGCGCAGCGCACGTTCATTCTAATATTGGCAAGAAATTCACGGATTAAAGCGGCTCGTTTTCAAAATTTGGCTATCGCCACAGCGCCGCGAACATTCGTTTTTAACATGCCGAGGGTTTCATATATTCAGGGCGGCTCGCTTTCAACATGTGTCTCTCGTCTTAGCGCTGGGCACACTCTTGTCGAACAACTGCAAGAGTTTCACGGATTGAAGGCGGATCCTTTTCAGAACACAAGTCTCGCCTTAGCGCGGCGCACATTCGTTTCAAACATTTGTAAGATTTGAACGCATTGAGGGCGTGGTTTCTGACATGTGGCTCTCGCCCCTGTGCAGCGCGCATTCGAATCAAATTTCGCAAGAGTTTCACTGATCCTCATGGTGAACGTACCCGCGATGTTGTTTTGAAGCGATTCAGGATTGTGAGGGCGCAACAAACACGTTGATTCGCGGTGTTGAAGTCTCAGGACTGGTGTTCTGGCAGGCTTCAGGATCGCAAAAACGCAACGGCCAGGTTTACTCGCGGCGTTGAAGTCCTGAGAATGGTGTTTTGGCACGCTTCAAGCTTTTCACATGGTTGTCCGCCAACGGGGCACGTCCCTCAGTGGCAATGAACCCTTGCATGAGACTGTGCAGAGGGAGCTTGGGGGGAGGGAGTATTTCAACATCGTTGATGAGTCTTGAGTTTGCACTGGTCGTCCTCCTCCCCATTCCCCTCCTCCTCGTCCTCCTCCTCCCCCTTCCCCTCCTCCTCGTCCTCCTCCTCCTCCTCGTCCCCCTCCTCCTCCTCCTCGTCCTCCCCCTCCTCCCCCCTCCCCCTCCTTGTCCTCCCCCTTCCCCTCCTCCAGCTCCTCGTCCTCCTCCTCGTCGTCCTCCTCCCCCCCCTCCCCCTCCCCCTCAACCGCCCCTGTGGCCTCCCCTTGACGGCCCTGCCCTTCGCCGCGCGTGCGACGTCCTCGTCGCCGCGGCTGCGGTGCAGCGCGATGAAGACCTCGGAGCACAGCAGGGGAACGGCCAGGAGCAAGAGGGCAGAGGTAACCGTCGGTCGGAAGAAGTCCGTCTCGGACCAGCCCCCGACGAGGCGCCAGGCGTGAAAGGCCCGGCGGCCCGTCTCGAAGCGGCCCGACGACGCGCAGAGGGTGGAGGGCTTGGTGGTCCGTCTCGGGCCAACCCCCGACAAGGCGCTACACGTCGGTCGGAAGAAGTGGGTAAAAACATGCAGTAGGAAGGCGGATAAAGTGGATTGGTCCAGGCCCCCCCAGGGAATAGCAGAACACAGCAAAAGCGTGTCGATTCTTGAAGTAGGAAGGCGCTTGAAGTAGATTGGGATCTGGAAGTCCAAAAATACCTACTTTCAACGACCGGCGTGTAACCGTCCTCGAAAGAAGCACCCCGTGCAAGCGAAACTCTCTTGCAGCAGGCGCATCTCCGGCGGGAGCCAGACAAGGCAGGCCCCGGGATGTCTGGGAAACGAGTCACTCAAGTCGGGGGTGGTGTTTCGGAACAGATGGACTACGCCGGCTTCGGTGGCAACTCACGGGAGCCTCCCATGCCATCTCGCTGGCTCTTGCGAATCGACGCGAATCGACGCGAAATCGACCCTACATCGGCGCTTGTTTTCGTCCGCTGCAAAGCACTATAGCACACGCGAGTGCAATCTACGGACGGAATTGCGAGGACACGCGAGGCTCCCATGCTTTGCTCCCAGACGTCACCAAACTTCTAACTTCGCGCGGCGGTATCCGTTCCTTCGCGCCGCCGCCCTTCGGCCCAGGCCGCCACGCGCGCAGCGCGATTACCTTCGCGCTCCTGCGGCTGAACTGGGCAAGGGGGCGCGAGCGATCAAGGAAGAGGGCGCGCTTGGGCACCCGCGCCGGCACGGCAAGCCTGCTCGACTGCCCGCAGCGGCGGCGGCCCCCATTCGGAGTAAGGCCGGTTGAGACAACGGAGGAGGAGGAGGAGGAGGAGGAGGAGGAGGAGGAGGAGGAGGAGGAGGAGGGGGAGGAGGAGGAGGAGGAGGAGGAGGAGGAGGAGGAGGAGGAGGAGGAGGAGGAGGAGGAGGAGGAGGAGGAGGAGGAGAGGAGGGAGGTGGGTGGAGGAGAGGAGGAGGAGGAGGAGGAGGAGGAGGGATGCGAAAAGAGGAACAGAGGAGGGAAATGCTCACACCGCGCTGGGGGGGAAGGGGGCGCACGAGCGAGCGAGCGACCACGCACAAGCGCCCGGGCCCAGTCAAGACCAGTTGGAGGAGGCCGTGGCCTCTGCGTGCCCTCAGGGCTTGGCTAAAAGTGAAACCCATTGACTTGGTAGGCCTCGGCTCGCCTGCGAAGGCGGCCGAAGTCCGAGTCAAGCCAAATGTTGACCCGTAAGCGGTAGGCAAGCGCTTGCGGCGACGAAACGCGGCCGCGCGCGTGGATTAGTTTGCCGTCCGCCGCTGCGAGCCACAGATGTTTGCAGCGGACGGCCTCCTCAACACTCCCCGTTCCTCGGGAGAAATGAGGAAGGCAAGAGAGGAACGGTGGGAGGCCCAGACGGTTCACGGGACCACCCGAAAACCCACAGCGGGGGTGCTGCTCAAAACAAAACTCGCACGCTGCGAGGAGTACGAGACACTGGGAGCTACTGCGCACTGTAATGCGCGAAGCCTAAAGCGGAGTGGAGGAGGATGAGGCGAGAGGGTTCCCGTCCTGTTGAGATGAAAAGATGGGAAGGGGGAGGAGAGCGCTGAAGAAGGGAAGAGGGGGGGAAGGGTCGGCAGAGGACAAACCTCCCTTTAGTAAACCTCCCCTTAGTGAAAACGGCCTGGGACCGAAACTGACAGACCTGGACCCGCAAAAATGACGGCCGCGACGCCCTCTCGCGAACCGAAAACGGCCAATTCCTTAATCGACGTGTCAGGGTAGGAGGTCTATCAACCTCCGAAAGGGGAAGGGGGGCGGGAGGGCAAGGGGCGGCGACTTTTGGTCGCAGCGAGGGCCTCCTGCGCACCACCATGGGTGCTCCGGGGCGGTCTCAGCGGAAGGGAGGGGCCGGCTCGAGGCCAGCTGGGCGCAGCAAGGCGCGCTGCAGGACTGGCGCCCCCCCTGCCTCCTCCTCCTCGTCCTCCTCCTCCTCCTCCTCCTCCTCCTCCTCCTCCTCCTCCTCCTCCTCCTCCTCCTCCTCATCGTCATCATCCTCCTCCTCATCATCATTCTCCCTCTCCCCCACGCCCCCTCCCCCTTTCCTCCTCCTCCTCCGTCTCCTACTCTGTTTCCTCCTCCCTCTCCTCCACGCCCCCTCCCCGCCCAACTCCTACGTACTCCGCCTCCTCCTCCTCCTCCTCCTCCTCCTCCTCCTCCTCCTCCTCCATTCCTTCTCCTTAAAAATAACTTCCCTGTTGCACCTCGAGGCCGCTTGTTAGGGCGGGCTGGGCGTTTCGCCTGAGACTTCCTCACCACTTATGACCCTGAAGCCCCAACATTCGCAACAGCTTCACAGATGGAGGGCGGGTCGTTTCCAACATGTGTTCTTGTCTTTGCGCCGCGCGCACTCGTTTGAAACATTTGCAAGACTTTCACGCCTTGAGGGCGGCCCGTTTTCAAAATGTGGTTCTCGCCTTTGCGCCGTGCCGCACATTCGCTATACAAATTTGCACGAGCTACACGGACTGAGGGCGGTTCCTTTTCAAAATGTGGCTCTCTCTCCCCAGCGCCGCGCACATTCGTGGTTTAAATGTGCAAGATTCACGGATTGCCATAATCAGCGTGCCAGAAATTGTGCTTGGGAAGGACTCAGGACTATGGGTGCAACAATTACATTGATTTGCTGTGTTTGAGTCCCAAGAATGGCGTTCTGGTATATTCAGGATCGTCAAGGCGCAACAGTCGGGCTGATCCGTGGCGTTGTAATACCGAGAAAAATGTTTTGGCATGCTTCAGGGTCTTCAAACGGTTGTCTTTCAAGGAGGCAGTTCCATAAGCGGAAATAAACCGCTGTAGGGGCCCATGAAGAGGAAACTTGGAGGGAGGGTTTATTCCAACATCGCTGATGACTCTTGTATTGACACTGGTCCTCCAGCGATCCACGCCTCCTTCTCCTCATCCTCCTCCTCCCTCTTCTCCTCATCCTCCTCCTCCTCCTCCTCCTCCTCCTCCCCGCCCTCGTTTTTCTCCTCCTCCTTTTCCTCCTCCGCCTCCACGCCCACTTCCCGCCCTCTCCCCGCCCTGCTGTTGCTGCTCCTCCTCCTCCTGCTCCTTTTCCTCCTCCTCCTCGCCCTCCTCCTCTTCCCCCCTCTCAGAACAACACCAAGAACAAACATTTGACCACCAGAAAAATGCAGCCAGTTAACCAGAACAGCCTGTAGAGTGGTAGGTAATGGGTCGAACAATATCACCACCACCTGGGTCACCATTGCGACCACATGTCCCTCCATCTCGACGCTGATGTTCACAACTGTCCGACCACCTCGACAGGCACCCGAACGGCATTATATCCTTCAGGTTGCAGTGTTGCTCTCGATTCGATCAGGTTAGATCTACCAATAATTGAACGAATGTTGCTGTGCAAAAATAAGGTCTATATGTGACAGAAAGTGCCTCGGGTGAAACGCGAGAGGCCCAACATGGCCCAACAAAGGGAGGGCGAATAAGCATACATAAACCCAAGACAAGGCAGGGTAGGGAGCTCCGACCGAACACATAAAACCGACAACCTCGATCTCCAAGCCTGTTCCTCCTCCCCTCGGAGGGACAACAGGGTACCGATGATTCTCACCAGAAAATCGCAGCGAATGCAGCCGTGGCGACGAAGTTTCTCCTGGACAAGCAGCGGTATCCGCACGCGTCGGTCAGAAGAAGTATGTAATGACATGAAGTAGGAAGGCGGATAACCTACACTTGGTTCAGAGCCTCCCAGATGAACAACATAAGCACAGCAAAAGCATGTCGATTCTTGAAATAGTAGGAAGGCGCTTGAAGTGGATTGGAATCTGGAAATCGAAAATACCTACTTTGAACGACCGACGTGTACCTCTTCTCCAATAGTGACACAATATGAATACTACTCCCCTCTCTCCCCTGATGACGTCCAGAAGATATCTGGCCTCCTCTCCGCGTATTGTTTTTTTACACCGGATTCCCGGGAAATCTGCGCACCTGGTTGTTTCGAATCGTGTTCCCGCTGCAGCGCGGGCGTTTTCGGCCCTTCAAGAAAGGTCCCCAAATCAAGAAAATGCCCCGCGAAAAAACCATCGGAAGTGATTACACATTCGGTGTCGATTCGTTGAGTTTTCTTGGGGCCGCAGAAGCACCCCCCATTTTGGCGTCGTCGCTGTCAGGAAGTATCAAGCGGGAGCCACGTCTCTGCTGAGAAAGCGACGTTGAAGCAGAGCCAGCGGGTGCTATCCATCAGCCCCGCCTTGTGTGGACCTTTTCGGGGAGCCCAAGGAGCTAGACATGAAGCCACAACTCCAGACTGGCCCAGACCTCTCGAAGACGACGCCATGCCATGACATGCTGTGCGGTGATGCGTTCTG